ATCCACCCCAATCGTATTTGTCCCTGTTTTGTATCTTGTCGCTTATTGTGTCGATTTACTTTTGTGGATAAAAGTCTTTTCATCCTATATAGAACGCAAAAAAAAATATTGCTTCGAAATGCCATATCCATATTGGAAATTGAGCAGAAATTGCAACTCTTACATAGTCCAAATCCTGTAATGATGTTTCTAGATTTAGATCAGTCGGCAGGAGATACTGGTCCAAAATGTCCTCTGCCCTCATATCTGTTGTATACCATAGTGTTATTGTCTCAATAGGTAACTCATCTTCTTCACACAGAAGAATGGATTGGCAAATATCCTGCTTTCAAAAAATACTGTCTGGGTAGATCTACGAAGCCACCTTTATTATATTACAAACCGTAGGATTATTTTAGTGGAGATGCAGTTGCAGACAAGTAAAGATTTGGGGTGAGTGATAAATCATTGCGGATACATTTCATTACAGCTGTAGATGACAAGAAACATATCATTTTCTCTCCTGTAGTAAACTATTCTTGCGTATCATTTTGGACATGATGAGCTCCCAAAAACTCCCATCTTCATGTCAGCGTAATTAAATGGTAATCTGAGAAATATCTCTTGCAAATCTTCACATTAGCAGACCCCATTCTACGTGTTGTAATGGATATAATTGAAACCACAGACTTTGGAACTAATGGATACGCAACTAGAGAAAATAATATCACTTTGTGATATGATAATTGCAGCAAGACTACTATATCTTCAAATGTGCATAAGTTCAATAATACCCACAACAGTGGAAAGGTTGGTGAAGATGATGGAACTTGCAGAGATAGATAAATTAATTTCTTTGCTTAGAGAAAATAATAGCTACATTTATGGCGCACTGGAGACCTCTTATAGACTTTTTGCATAAAATGGACTTATGATTTGTGATTTTGATGATTAGGGAAAAAAAGTCTGGCTAATGGAAAAGAGTAAGCTTCCTGTTGTAAACATAGAGTAAGAGATAATTGTTTAATTGTACTTATATTTGCTGGAAAGAAAATGGGAAGTTTCTTCTTTCTACTTTTTTCTCCTTTCTTTCTGCACTTTTTTTTGGGGGGGGTCTTCCCTTCTGTTTTCAGCTTTTTTCATTTTATTAATTTGTTCTAATTTTTATGATCTTTGTAAAACTTTTCAATAAAAAATTATATTAAAAATGTTGAAATGAATGTAGATTTATCACAGGCCGTGCAAAATATATATTGAGTTATGATATGGGCTTAGCATTTAGCACTTTCAATATACAGTGGTACCTTGATATTTGTCGGTAATATGTTCCAGAAACCGACGAGTGCCAAGAAAACCACGTGACTTAGTAGGTGACCTGCTATTTCGGCTGGAAGAAATAGCCCATCCTGAAGCATGGAAGTTGGGCAATAGAAAGCCGAACTTAAAACATGTTTTGAATACCCCAGGTTAAACAATCTGAATATCTTACCACTCCATGCAGTTCCTCTGAGTACATTTTCAGAATAGAGCATAAGCAATCATAGGATAAGTACTGGTGATTTTCATGCAAAGCTTTCTGCATGATGTTTCATGTGCATTGCTAGCCTCCTACTCCTGTAAACGTCTGTTCTAAAATTTTAAGATATGTGCATACTTAAATAGTTTTCCATCACCGCCAAGCAGAGTCGGCATAATGAATGCTGAGGCAGAATGTTATCCTGTGACTGCTTATCCCTTGTAGAACAGTACTCATCTTTTTTTGCTTATCTCTTTCTTTGTATACCGTAAAAGAACAAATGACCTAATTTGGCAGGATATTTAAAGGCCTTCTCTGTTGCTGCAAACAGAAGAGCCCTTTTGTCTTCAGCAGGTTCACACATTTCTGTTACACAATGCCAAAAGCAAGTGATAAAGGAAATAATTGCACAGAAGAAATCTTTGCAGTATATTACACGCCACCAAAAAACAACAACATTCTAAGTACTTGGGGTCTCATATACGAAATCATGTAATTTTAATGCAATACTAGGGTTAGTCTCTAAAGGGCTTGGTGATCAATTCAGTGGGCAAAACATGGAAACAATGAGTAGGTTTCATTCCCGACAACTGGAGAAAAGAAAACTGGTTTCCAGTAGCAAAGGGGAAAGGGAAGGGAAGGTATCCATAAAGTTTAGATGATAACCAAACATTTGCATAATCTCTAAACCAGTGGTTCTCAACCTTTCTAATGCCGCAACCCCATAATACAGTTCCCCATGTTGTGGTGACCCCCAACCACTTATACATCACCGGGTGCCAGGGGCGTGGCCAAAGAAAAGGGGGAAAAATGGCAGACAGCCTTGTTTGGCGACCCCCGTGAAATGGTCGTTCGACCCCAAATGGGGTCCCAACCCACAGGTTGAGAACCACTGCTCTAAACCTTCAGAACTTCACGTGTCAAAGGGAGGAAGTTTTACAAAATTCCAATATAGCAACAATAGAAGCAGATCTTATGTGTTGCACACCTGATTTCCAGGTTCCTTCCTTCTATTTCCAGTTAAAAGGATCATACTGGAACTGAGTGTAAGGTATATTCCAGTAACCTAGGAGAGATGCTTTCCAGCTTTAAAAAAAATGCTGGGTTAATTAAACAAATAGAGATCCAGTTTAGGGTAATGGTTAAGGTGACAGGAGACTGTGTGTACTAGACCCATCTTAGGCACGAAGCCAGCTAGGTGACCTGGGACCAGTCGCTCACTCAGCATGCCGAAGAAGGAAATGGCAAATCACTTCTGAAAAATCTTGCCAAGAAAACTGTAGGGATTTGTCCAGACAATTGCCAGGAATCAAGACGGATTCTCAAAGGCATCAAGGCGCTTTTTAAAAAAAGATGAAAACAAGCAAAAGGAGAACGTGGCATTCATGGGAAGCCAGTTACCTTTTTGCCACACAGGATTACAATTCCCTTTGTTGGGGAAGATATGAAATCCTTCCATAGAATCGGGCTGGGATGAGCTTATACTGTCTTTACCAACTCTGCTAAATTTGCCATCCCTTAACATAACAAATGGTAATTAAAAAAAATCAAGGTATCTGACAGCCTAGACTTTTGTGGATTATAATCGACTTCCTCCAGTCTTACACTGCCAATGCCTATAAAGCCTTAAGACAGTGATGGCGAACCTTTTGGAGACTGAGTGCCCAAACTGCAACCCAAAACCCACTTATGCATCCTCGGGTGCCGAGTGGATGTGGCCCATTGGGTGGGCGTGGCTGCAGTGGTAACGGCAGACTGGGTGGGACTAAAAAGTTCGAACAATCAGTTCCAACTTTGCAAGATCTTTTTTTTTCCCACGAGAAGTTGAAATTGATTGATTGATTGAACCTTTTTTTTTTTTGCACACGACGGCGGAGGTCTAAAGTGAAAAGGTTTTATAAAACCCAGCTGAAGGCCTAGGACTGGGGCGACGGCGCGCATGCCCACAGAGAGGGCTCTGAGTGCCGCCTCTGGCACCCGTGCCATAGGTTCCCCACCACTGCCTTAAGAGAAGGAGAGAAAGAGCTGTAAACAATGTGATGGGAAGAAAATGAGGCAGAGAAAAGCCAGACACTGGCAATTATTATTAAAGGGCCACGGATATTTTGCAGTTTTGGCTAAAGGAGAGAATCACCCTTTTCTGGACTCAAAACCGAGCGCATAAGGCTAAAAGGGAAGCTAATCCAAGAACTGTTACAGATGTATAAGGATCGGCAGTTTTGCCCTACGGCTTCACCTTGTCCATAGTGAAATACTATCTACTGTATATATGGCTTTTCAGCATTGAGGAAGCAACCGCCGTTTCATCCATTACTGTAATGCAGTGGTTCTCAACCTTTTTAATGCCGTGACCCCCCAGCCGGTCGTAAGTCGAGGACTACTCAACCGGTCGTAAGTCGAGGACTACTCAACCGGTCGTAAGTCGAGGACTACTCAACTGGTGCAGCACCGTTTGCAGAATGGGACTTTTGGCGGGCTCAGCAGGGCAGAGACAGCCTGGACAATTCCTATTGGCTTTTGAAAGCCAATAGAATTAGACTCTATTCAAGAGTCTATTCTATTGGCTTTCAAAAGCCAATAGAATAAAAGGGAGTAGCACAGCTAAGGAAAAAGGGGGGGAAATGGCGGACTGCGTTGTTTGGCGACCCACGTGAAATGGTCATTCGACCCCAAATGGGGTCCCGACCCACAGGTTGAGAACCACTGCTGTAATGCAGTGTAATGGACGGAAATGGTCATTCGACCCCAAATGGGGTCCCGACCCACAGGTTGAGAACCACTGCTGTAATGCAGTGTTTCCCAAACTTGACCATTTTAAGGCATGAGGACTTCAACTCCCAGAATTCCACAGCCAGCAACGCTGGCTGTGGAATTCTGGGAGTTGAAGTCCACATGCCTTAAAATGGTCAAGTTTGGGAAACACTTAAGATTTTTTTGCAGCACGCCAAACGAGCCCGACGATCAAAAGATGGGCAAAGATGCCAAATAGCAACAGGGAGAGTTTTCATTCCCAAAGAGCAGCCAGCGGTGGCGGAATGAATTAAAAAAATAAAAGCAAGAGGGAGAAGCTGTTCGAGGCTCGGATTGAAAACCAGCCTCTTTAGTAGTGAACATGCAAGGAAAGCGGCCAACTTTCCGGGAAATCTCGGAATGACTTTAGCGCTTTTGTGGTGCAGGAATGCGTGGGCATATAGAGGATGGGGAAGCAGTAAGCGCAATAAATCATTTGGAGGCTATTTTCGCAGCCTGACTCCCAACCAGGAATCAGGATGCTTTCCTCGGGAAGCAGGGTTTGGGGGGGGGGGGGGAAGCCCCGATACCCATAACGCGCAGCGAGTCGAGCGAGGTCAACCCTCGCCAAAAGAGACCGCGCCACACAAGAGACCAAGGGGGATACCGTAAACCTCCTAGCAGACCCGCAAACGGCGTGCTTCCATTCAAAAGCTTAAACTAGCCCGGCCGGCCGCTCGGACAAATACTGTAATGCAAATGCTTTCCCCTTTACCTGCACCGGCCAGTAGGAGGCAGGGCGGAGCCCGCCTCATCCGCCCCTCGTGCACCACGAGCTGCAGGTTGCCGGTCGCCGCTGCCGCATCCCGCCTGGGGAGAAGGAAAGGGGGTACCTGACCCACAGCGGCGGTGAGGGGCTCTTCCGTCGCCAGGCGGGCTCAGCCGCGCCCGCTTCCTCCGTTCGGCCTGAGGCGGCGAAGAGCGGGCTTCGGCGGCGATCCGGGCGGATGGGGGGGGGGGGGAAGCGGGAGGGAACCCTGGCGCGCGCGCGAAAAAAGGGAGCCGAGGTGGGGGGGGGAGGCTGTGGCGGAGCGCGCGCGCACGCGCTTCCCACACACCCACCCACCCCCACCCCCTCCGGCCGGCGTTGGCTGGCTTGGGTGAGAAAGTCGGGGGCGCGCGCGGAGCGTCGGGGAGGTCTCGATCCCCGCCGGGCGGGGGTGGGGGCGCGCGCGCGCGCCCGCGTGACAGAAACGGGGAGGGGGGACCCGTGGGATTTCCCCCCCCCCCTCCCTTCCGTTCTCCGGAGGTGCCGATTCTGGGTTGGAAGTCTGCGGCTTGCAAATATGTTCCTGCAGTTGCTCTGGAGAGATGCAAGCTTGGAGAAAGCGGGGAGTCCCCGTTTCCGACCCTGAAAGACCAGGAGACGGGAGCAGGCTCCGGTCAGGCCGGCTGCTAGCGCCTCCGCGGGCAGGTCCAGCTTCAGGGTATGGTCAAAAAAAAGTCAATTTTGGCAGCCATGGATGGGGGGGGGGCAATTGAAGTTTTGTTCCTTTTTTTTTTTTATGGCCGCTGCAGGTAGTCTTCGACTTCACGGCCACCATTGAGCCCAACATATTTCTGTTGTTAAGTGAGACATTTGCCAAGGGAGTTTTGCCCCATTTTACGATGGGTTGTTAAGCGAGTCACCGCAGTTGGTAAGTTAGTAAGTGAATCTGGCTTCCCCGTGAAGGTCGCAAAAGGGGATCCCATGACCTTGGGGCACAGCAAAGGTCGTAAGTGTGAACCAGTTGCCAAGCCTCCGAATTTTGATCACATGATCGCGGGGATGCTGCAAACGTCATAATTGTGAAAAAGGGTCATAAGTCACATTTTTCAGTCCCGTTGGAACTTTGAACAGTCACTAAATAAACTGTTGAAAGTGAACAACTTACCTGTGCAGGTAAAAAAATCAAGCAAGCTCAATGGCACCTACACTTTTTTTACTATATTCTGTGGACATCACTGATTATATATTGGTTTCTGGGTAGCAATAAGAAGTTGTGGGCCCTCCATGTAGTTCTTTCTTGCCTTCCATAGATTTCTTGGTGGTGGTTCATCCTAGGACATCTGACTCCCAGGAGGTTTTTCAATATGAACTAGGAGCTGTCAAACAGATTATTATCCAGTTCAGAACTCAGCCCAAAACAATCCAATCCAAGATACACATAGCATATCCCTCCGAAAACAGTAAACACAGTTTACCTCACATTGTTGATGTCGTGAGGAAAATAGAAGGAAGGACTATTTATACTGTATATGTTCATTCATCTGAGTTACTTATAAAGTGATAAAGGCAGGATAAAAATCTGATAAATAAAATTTTTGTTAGTTGGAATTTCCTGGCTCTCTCCCATTCCTTTTGTTTTGCAATCTGGCCTTATACCTAGGACAGTTTGATCCCGATTAATTTCATTTACGCGTGCAAAATGGACTGAAAGCACATAAAATCCAGTGCACCCCATGGAGCAGTTGGGGGGGAGGTAGGAATGCACGTCAGTGTGTTAGGAAAAAGTGGAGAGAGAAGCAGTCAGAGGTTTGTGCTAATCCATCAGCATTTGCAGCTGAATTTTATCTTGAACTGTGAAACTGATACAGAATTTTCTTAATCCTTCAAGAGGGTGCAGTAAGTGTTATGTTACAGGTAGTCCTTGAATTACAGCACTTCATTTAGTGATCGTTTGAAGTTACAACCTCACTGAAAAAAGTAACTTATGACCATTTTTCACATTTATGACCATTGCCGATTCCCCATGTTCACGTGATCGCAGTTCAGAAGCTTGGCAACTGACTCGTATTTATGACAGTTGCATGTCTAGGGATTATGTGATCACCTTTTGTGATCTGGGAAGCAAAGTCGGTGGGGAAGCCGGATTCACTTCACAACTGTGTTACTAACTTAATAACTTAACAACTGCGGCAAGAAAGGTCGTAAAATGGGGCAAAATTCACTTAACATCTGTCTCACTTAGCAACAAAAATTTGGGGCCGTAAGTCGAAGACAATTGTGGTCATAAGTCAAAGACAACCTGTATATGCTTTGGGTATAATTGCATGTGCCGGTCTGCATATTATTTGCATAATTATTTGCATATTATATACACACACGGATACTTTCACTGGCAGTTGGTGGGGAGCAAAAGCAGGCCACATTGCTATTGTGTTCATATCTGGTGTTGGGTTTCTATCAGCACATTGTTGGCTGCTATAGGAACAGAATGTTGGATTCAGTAGCCTTCAATAGATACACCAGGGCACTTCTCGCTTTTTATAAAGGAAATGTGAAGTTTTCTCCTTACAGTAATGGCTCTCATTAGGTTAGCAGGACAAAACACTGGGCCAAATTCTGGGACAGAAAAGGGATAGAGTCACAAATAGTCAATATCCTCTCCAGAATTCCCATTGGGTTCCTGTTATTTTTCTATTCTGAGTGAGCCCCTGCAAAGACAAGAGGTCATAAACCTAATACACAATAAAAGCAAATAGCTCATATGTTACCTTCAGGGTGCTCCTAGCTGCCATAGTTTCTTGATCATTCAGCTAATATTTAACAAGGTTGTTGATGCCAACCAAGTGGGCACAATGAATGGTTCATTTGTAAACAGTAGACCTAGCAACAAGTTCATGGATTGTTGGGACTTGCTAGATGTTTCATAATGGATTTTGAAGGAAGGTGGGCAGAAGAAGAGGGACTAATCAGTGCCAAGGTCAAGGAAACTGCGTATTTTTAGGGGTGTCACCTTTTTTGACCTATGCATCTGTCCATGTTGAGCAGACTTCCCACAAGCTCCTTCTCATGGTCTGACTTTCAATTAAATAAGAGTTTAATCCCCATCTCTACCCCCTGTAACCTGTGAGATCAACAAAGAGAAGCAGTTGCTTTGGAAACACTATTGGTACTTGCAGGATGCTGACTGTAAGGCCAACACATAGAACTTTGCAGGTGTACATTCACAGGTGCTTGAGAAGCAGCATGGCTCCCTAAGCTGGTTCATCATTTTGCAAATTATCCCAAGCAGAGAAATATGTATAGGAAAGTCAGAGTTGTCATCCAACTGTTACAAATTGCATCCAAATTATTCCTTGGCGATAACAGGATGTAATTTGTCATTGCAAGTGTGCCAGCATGTCTAATTTGGAGAAAGACTTCCCTTGTGGTGAAGGTATTCCTGAAACCCCAATTCATGTCTTGCTGTATTGCTCTTATTACAAAGATGTCCAGTCCAGTTGATCACAACACAACTGATCAGGCTTCCAAGTCGTCACCCAGATCCATTTTATTTTCAGCTGCTACTATCCAATCAGCATGGTCCTCTTTCTCTTTACCTGGCTAGGCTTTCTTTTACCGTTTGTAAAATACATCACGCAGTTATGATTACTGGACTTCTCGTGTTGCTGCTTCACATTTCATTTTCTTTATTTTTGAGATGGTTGGTCTATGGCTGTAATAAAGTCAGCTTCCATTGTTTACTACTACTAACTAGGGCAGGGGTAGGCAACTTTGGCTCTTTTATGACGCGTGGACTTCAACTCCCAGAATTCCTGAGCCAGCATGGCTCAGCTTGGAAACCTCACCCTTTCCCCTCAGCGTGGCTGGCTCAGGAATTCTGGGAGTTGAAGTCCACGCGTCATAAAAGAGCCAAGGTTGCCTACCCCTGAACTAGGGCATAGTTTTTAATCTCCCCATGTGGCCTACAGACCAGAGGACCTTACCTAAGAATTGACTAGCTCTTGTTCCAAGATCAGCCCTCTCAGTAGGTACTATCACCTACTTTGATATCCTTGTGACTTAAGTGTCGGCGCCAAATGAACAAAAGGAGCTTGTGGATTAAAAATGACTTCCGCTCTTGAATAAGATACAAATGCTATTTCCCAGAGGCCCAAGGAACTGAAACCTATCCCCATTTTCTTACATATCAGGGACACTGATCACTGAAGTGATGTTAACAAGCTTCGGCTTCCTGTGCTATAAATAATGTAAGGATGATTATAGCTATCCCAGCATGCCTTTTTATGCACATGATTAAGAGCTCTTACTCATTTGACCTGCCGTTGGTTCGTTTCACAGAGAGCTAATCAGAAAGCCAGAGGGTTTCGGATTATTTACGGTTTAACCGGTTAGGTGTCGGGCTGGAAAATCTGTGCCTGGTCTCTGTAACGGACTGTGAGGCTAAGCTGGATGCGGTCCAGCCACCTGGGGTGGAGAGAGTGTTGCTTGTTTAAGAGGCTGCATTTCCCTTAAAGCAGAAATGAGGAAGTTGTGGCCTTTTCTGTGGTGTAGAACTGTGATTTCCACCCATCATAGATAACATGGAAAATGATGAGATGCAAGAATTCTGATTCAGCAGCATTTAGATCAGCATTGCTGGCTGTGGAATTCTGGGAGTTGAAGTCCACATGCCTTAAAATTGTCAAGGTTGAGAAACACTGAAGATGGAGAGAGCCTCCTTGCTGTGCCTTGTATCCATCAGGGTCTTATTTATTACTTAAAGGTTAAATTTAAATCCTGTTTTTTCTTCAGGGACACAAAGTATAGAGAGCCAGTTTGGCCTAGTGGTTAAGGCACTAGGCTAGAAAGCGGGAGGCTATGAGTTCAAGTCCCACCCTAGCCATGAAGGCCAGATGGGTAACTTTGGGTCAGGCTCATTCTCTCAGCCCCACCTTACAGGACTGTTGTAGGGAAAATAGGAGGAGAAGGTGTGTTGGATATGTTCACCGCCTTGAGTTATTGAAATAATAAAGGCCGGATACAAATAAATAAATGAATGAATGAATAAATATACTACTCCATTCTCCACGATAACCCAATAACTGCATAGGTTTATATAGAAATCAACTGGGTCTCTATAAAGAGAAGATAAACTGACTTGGGCGACTCAGTCACAAATAATCTCAAAATTAGATATGGTTATGCCCTCCTTTTCGAGTGACTCATAAATTCAATCCAGATATTGATCTGAAAAATCAATTTCTTCCGTAAGTCCCATCTAACATGTTTGTTGAAACATTCTTTGATTGGTACTTATCTTGTAACCCAATCTAGAATGCACAGAGTCTCATGTAAATTACAACTGAACTAGTGCACCCTCTATTCTTACAGTTCACCCCAGCAACAGATGCTTTTCCATGGGTCCTGCTGCTGCTACATTGACACCTACTGTTAATTCAACTTCCTTCATGCCGATCCAGGTAGTGGAACAAATTGCCTTTTGGGGCTGCCCGCAAGAAGAATGCATAAGGTAAAGTGACCAACCGTCCTCCTTTAGGGAGGACAGTCCTCCTTTTGTGAGTTCTGTCCTCCCTCAAAAAGTGTCCTCCACATGTCCTCCTTTTCGATATTTGAAGACTAATCTGCAGGCCTTTTTTTTTTCTCATAGAACTCTCAGAACGGTGTTCTGGTACCTTTTTTTGATGGGGTTTTTTTTCAACTTTTGCATGAGCTGTGCTATTCCCCCTTTTGGCTTTCGAAAGCCAATAGGAATTGCTGCTGAGCATGCCAAAACACCCGGCCGACAAACTTTGCACATGTAAGTTGTCTGCAACGCAGGCAAATTGGCAGGAACTTTGCACCCCTCCCTGCTATCCAACTACACCATCTCCTAGTTAGTCCCAAAGATACCTGGAGGAGACTGGAGCGGTAACGCCACGGTGACATTCTCTTGATCTTCGGCCCTGCTAGGGCAATAATGGCTGTGGACGCCAGAGGCAGGGGCGGCGGGGCTGCTGTGGGCGGGGGTGTGAGGGGTGGCGGTGGCAGGCTGCCCCCCGTGCTGTGGGAGCCACAGGGCCTGCTCTACACGGGGCTGTGCAGGATGAGTAGTGCTGGCGGGGCGGCTGCAGACGGGGTGTGTCGACGGGCTGCCCTCCCGCAGCCGGCGCAGCTGGTGCTTTGGGAGCCACGGGGCCCGCTCTACACGGCGGGGCAGCAGTGCTGGCGGGGCAGCTGCGGGCGGGAGCGCGGCATGTAAGCATAATTACAATATAAAATGTTATTGTTGCAAATGTTTTTTATTATGCATTTATTATATTATAGTGTATTCTGTATTGTTGCAATGAATAAAATGTTTCTTTTATTTACAATATTTTTTATTCAATTTATTTGTGTCCTCCTTTTCATTGTAAAAAAGTTGGTCACCTTACATAAGGTCAAAATGATAGCTGCAATCACCATGAGCTAATTGCAACCACCATTTTGGTTTTTGCCCTTCCTAGACACCTCTGCTGCCTTTGGACTTGAAGCAGTTTAGGACAGTGCTGGGGAATTCTGTGAGTTGAAGCCAACAGAATTGAAACAAAAAAAACTAATTAGGAAAAGGCTCACTGTATAATTCTTTACCGCTAAGCCTGTTAATTGTTTCAAAAGTCTTTCAATGTACTAGTAACTGGAGCAGGGGGAGGCAACCTTGGATCTTTTATGACTCGTGGACTTCAACTCCCAGAATTCCTGAGCCAGCATAGCTCAGCATGAAAACCTCTCCCTTTCTCCTCAGCAGGGCTGGCTCAGGAATTCTGGGAATTGAAGTCCACGAGTCATAAAAGAGCCAAGGTTGCCTACCCCTGAACTAGAGTGTTGTTTCAGTAAAGGTTTTAGATTATTTGAATGACACTTCTGGCATTTCCATTTTATTTCTGTGAACTGCTATGAGCTATTAAGGGAATTGGCAGTATAAAAAATATCTGTATTTTTAAAAAGTAACAAATGATCAGGATGCAATTATTAAACTACTATATTTTTATATGCAGCATTTTTAATAAACAATATGTAAGAGGGTGGGGTTTTTGTTTTTTTTTTAAGAAATGAGCATGGTTTTAACGTATGTTAGGATTTGATTTTTTTCTTTTTCTACATAAAAGAGAGATTTGTATTCTGGCATACATGGAGAATGGAAAGTTTTCAAGCTGCAACCTTCATTTTATCCCTTAATGTGTCTGTGAGGATTATCTGGTTAAGATTCATAAAGCTGTCTGAAAATCATAAAGCCTATGTTCCGTAAGTGTTAAGCATTATTTTTAAATATGATCAACACATATTGCTGACTAGTTGTCTTTTATTATTGCTTTAAAAATACAGCTTTCAGCAGATTGTGAGCCTCTTGAAGCAGATATTAAAGATTTTCTGTTTTGCACGCTTTGTGTCTAGCTTTACAAAAATGTGTGGTATCATAGGGACTTCTTTTTACAGATAATCCCAGAACCAACATACCTAATCAGTGAAGTATGGATTCGTGTATTTCTGTGGTTCAGTAAATATGCAAAGCCACGTTAGAAAAGAACACCCTGAAGAACAATAAGAAAAATCTTTGCTGTGGGAAAAAAGTGCATTTACACACCTTATGGTGGCTGTATTAGTTATGCAGGAAATCTGCAAATGCTTGATTTGTCTAAACTTTCAAAGTTGTATTAATACAGATGCCATAAAGTGTGTTACATAAAGAGTCCTTTAATTTGGAAGTCAACCTAGCTTAAGTCTATGTCGGGGGTGTTCAAGCTTGGCAACTTTAAGACCTGTGGACTTCAACTCCCATAATTTCCCAGCCAGCATAGTTGGGAATTGAAGTCCACAGGTCTTAAAGTTGCCAAGGTTGAACATCCCTGGTCTACACCATTGATTTGGTGACCCTGGAAAGGGGACAGTTCAATCCAAAATGCATTTGGTCTCCATTGTCAACACATCAAAATAAATAAAAAAAGGTCAGTGAAAGTTTCTCCTGTTTGTTAGTGTTAACATTGCTATTCCTTCCTGTTTTAAGTTTGCAAAGCTACACTGAAACTAAACTAATTGGCTACTCACTAGATACTTTTACAGTTAACCAGAGGAAGTTGTGGGTGCTCTTATCACTAGAGATTTTTAAGAAAAGATTGGACAGCAATTTGTCCAGAATGGAATAGCGTCTTCTGCTTGTGCAGGGGGTTGGACTAGAACAGGGGTCTTCAAACTTGGCCCTTTTATGACTTGTGGACTTCAACTCCCAGAATTCCTCAGTCAGCATGCCTGGCTGAGGAATTCTGGGAGTTGAAGTCCACAAGTCATAAAAGGACCAAATTTGAAGACCCTTGAACTATTGGAATCGTTTATATCAGTGGTTCTCAACCTTCCTAATGCCGCGACCCTTTAATACAGTTCCTCATTTTGTGGTGAACCCCAACCCTAAGGGTTCTCCATGAGCGCACCAACGCTGCCCACTCACCCACCGCGCCCGGGGTTCAGCGCACCTCACCTCACTTACGAAAGTCGCCGGCCTGCTCGGCTCCAGCTGGCCAGGGAGGGGGGGGGCAGGAAGGCCGCTCCGCCCAGCCTGGTTGGAGAAGCGCCCAGGCGGGGAGAGGGAGGAAGAGAGAGAGAGAGCCAAGAGGGCGACAGCACCGGCAGAGCTTAATTCAGCCTCCTCTGTGGAAAGGTCTGCGAAGCAGCATAGCCTCTCTTAGGAGATGCTCGACAGAAACGAATCCAGTGCTGCAACGGCCCCCAGCTCGAAGCCGTGCGGAGACGGATAGAGGAGCGGTGTCTCGGTTCCTAAGACTATCGGAAATATGTGTTTTCCGATGGTCTTAGGCAACCCCTGTGAAAGGGTTGTTCGACCCCCAAAGGGGTCATGACCCACAGGTTGAGAACCTCTGGACTAAAAGACCTCCAAGGTCCCTTCCAACTCTAGTGTTCTGGTATTCTGTTCTTCTGTTACCTGGTAAAATAAAAACAGTGAAGACATTCTTTTTTTTTTTTCCAAGCCACTGAACTCTCAGAACAAGCTGTTTTGGGATTTACTGGAGGAAGAAGGATATGGAAGAAAAGTGTGGACTCCAACATTTCCTAGAGTTATGGCTCCAGTCCATTCTGTTGTATCCACTATGGCTTTGTAAATAAATTTAAAGGAAATTAAATCATAGCTTCCCAACCATTTGTCTAGTTTGGTCCACATTCTTAGGGCAGTTCCTGGGTTGCTGACTGAATATTTCATGACGATGAAACAGGACTGCAAAATTTACCCTTTGAAGCTATTTTCTCTCCTCTATTCCGTTGGCACCATATTCTTTCATTTTAGGACTTGCAGAAAGTTAGAAACTGGAGTTAATGTGGAATTTTTTTCACACCATTTTCAAGGTATGCAAAAGTTGATGTGGTTTACTGTGTCTTTTAACAGAACAATGGAGTTGGAAGGGACCTTGATATAGGAAACTCTCTCATTTCAGACAAATGGTTTCCCAATCTCTTATAAACTCATAATTTCTGGAGGCAAGTTGTTCCACTGATTAATTGTTCTGTCAGGAAAATTCCTCCTAATTAGGCTGGTTCTCTCTTTGATTAGTGTACATCCATTACTTCTTGTCTTGCCCTCAGGTGCTTTGAAGAACAGGTTGACCCCCTCTTCTTTGTGGCAGCCCCTAAGTTATTAGAACATGGCTATCATGTCTCTCCTCGTCCTTCTCTTCACTAGACTAGACATACCCAATCTCTACAACTATTCTTCATATGTTTTAGCCTCCAGTCCCCGATCATCTTTGTTACTCTTCTCTGAACTCTTTCTCTGCAAAGCCACCATCTCCCAGAATCTGTGGATCAGTAATGGAACATGTTCCTGGAGAGAAATAGTGTTCATCTCATGTCTGCAACCAGCACACTGGACAACTGATAGTTGGATTAGCAACTCTGCTCTGTAAAGAAGCTAATTGTTCTCTAGCGGAACGCACCCAACAATGAAAAGGGATCAGAAAAAGCAAATTGTTATGGTTTTATTGTAGAAAAGGAGTGAGGGAAATGTGTTGTTCAGGAATTATGTCCATGCAATGCTTCTTAAACCCTCATTTAGCTGAACTTAATTAGTTGGATATGCCAAACTGAAATTAAACAAAGATAACTTCAGTATGTTGCTTTGATGTTATCTGCAGACTGTAAGAATCAATGAGGGAGTCCAGAATACCTGGGGGCTTAATCGTTAATAAAGCACTTATTTTACGTAGTTTCTGAATGTAGGTACTTGCCTGAAAATCTATAGAATGTGTGTGTGTGTGGAAGGTACAAATGACTAGAAAACCACTTAGATGACTTGTTCCAGATGATTGCTTTGGATCTTGTCAATGAGTATAAGAAGAGAAAATGTATTTCTTAGGCATTAAGACTCATTGAAGTTCCTTGATTTAGTACTAAAAGAGAACTACCTAACACTTCTACCTATCTGAATCTTGGCACTCTCCATTAGAATTAAGAGTGCATAACAGGCAGCTGTTGTTTTTTTTTTTCCTGCAGATACAACCGGTTTTTCTGTTGAGCAGTTGCAGTTAATACATTATTTTACTTCCTCATATAATACCCAACCCTGTGGAGAAAATCTTTCTGACTCTAACAAAGCAACATTCAGTGTTTTGGGTGAAACATGATGCTTAGTGTTTTGATTCTGTACAATTTCTTACTCCAGTTCTTGATGGGAATGACTTCAATC